AGTGAGTATGAAAGACAGAAGGAGATTTTTTGGAAGTTAGATGTTTCAGTAGCTCAATAGGTTTTAAAGATGTGCCAAAAGATCCCAAATGTACCACTTCAATATTTATTTATAGAGATCTGAGAACTAAAAAAAAAATACAATAAAAAAGATAGAAAATGCCATAATAAATGAGACATAGTAAGGCCTGCTCGATATGTGTGTCTTAATCTGATAAGTGCTTAATAAGGCCTGCTCGATATGTGTGTCTTAATCTGATAAGCACTTAATATATGATTGTTGTTCTATCGCTTAGCTATTTGGCTTTTAAGCAAGTTCCCTTATGCCAAGCGTTTGTGGAAAAGAAAATGAAGGTGAGTAGTATGATGTTCTTAAGCCATTTTTGTATGTTGGGGAAACAAACTTCAGGGTTAATTGAGAATGAGGAAGTGAGTTTTAGTCTTTTTTGGGATGACCCTTTTATGTGGCCAGTTCACTGGATTCGATTGATGGCTCACTGATAGAGATAACGATGAGTTGCTTTGAGAGGGAACCTGCCATTAAGAGATCAGTTCTATGAGTTTACGGAGTCCTATGTGAGCCCCATGAGTTTTCCTTCTATGCAACCTTCCTCCAAATACTTTGCCTGGTTAGGTCGAATCACTTAGCTTTCATATAACAATGGTCGCAAGTGTCCATTGGATGAATCTTCACTACTAAGGCCTATTGAGACTGAGTTCTCTTATTGGAACCTGTTAAATACTTGCGAGACACCTTATAAGGCATGTTCGAGCACACAACTTAATTTGGAAACCCAAAATCTCATGGGTCAAGTCTTCAAATAAAAACTTTAGTTTAATAAATCACTAGCATTAAATTAAGTTGGGACTCATTTGAAAGGATACTCATATTAGATTGTCATAATGAGCATTCGAACTCCACTTTTACTTATTATTGAATGTATTGAAGTCATCAAGCATATTCCCCCGGCTAGAATTAACTCATGAATAAAAGTTGCCCAAACATTTGAAAGCTATGGCTTTAAAAAAATATCATCGTTATATATATATATATAATATTAAATTACTTATTATTAAAGAGTTTTATTGGTTAATATAAGAATAGAAATAAAAATAAAAATAAAACTTTTAGTATTTATTTTTAGAAAAAGAATTCATGTTAAGAAGGGTAGTGGTAGACATAAAAAGACTTTATTAGAAAATATTATAAATGACATTTCTTTATTAGATTTAAATAAGAATTTAACTTTTAACAAAACACAATGAAGAAAAAGGATTCATATAGTCAACCCCATATAGTAGAATAAAGGCTTGATGTTGTAGTAGTAGTAGTAGTAGTATTTATGTAAGTTTGAAATTTAAGAATTTTAACTAAATTGAGTTAAATTTCAGTACAATATTCTACTCTATCATTATAATTAATTGAACAATACTTTTTTAGAATAATACTCTACTCTATCACTATATTAATTGAACAGCATGTGCACTTGTATAGCACGATGTAAAATATAGTGTTCATATTTTTGGTGTCGTTGCCCGGGAACCGATGCCTAATTTTATTAAGTTAATATTGATTTTAAGATCACTAATTTAATCTTGCTTGTTTGCTTCTGTTTATTATTACTTGAATTTGTATTTTTATGTGTTACTTTAGCTATTCAAAATTGCTAGAAATTGTATTTTATTGTTTATGTGAGGGGTGCCTCATCACCTTAGTTAGTTGTTATACAATGTAGTTTGTTGTCTATAACCATTTTTGACCTTGAAAAAGAATAAAACACTTAATGGATTAAAAAAAATTAAAAAAAACAAATCTAAAAAATAACTATATAGCATGACATTGAAGATGTTCTAATATGTGAAAATTCACTCACTACAATATTTCAATGACCTTATATATTCTGCTTTATCCTTATCTGTCATGTGTAAATGTAGGAGGAATTCTAGTCCCACTTGCTAAAACAGAGTGTAAGAGGTAATATGATTAATGTTATGTTCTAATTCTGACCTCACTTGCCATATACATGTGAGCGAGATTTTAAAAAAGTACAAGTGAAAGAAAAGTTATAAACATACATAAAAAAATTTACATTATAATTATGCATTACATATTATGATAGTCTAAAGAATAAGTATAAATAATATTTTGAGCAAAATTCTATTGATATTTGAACCCCTATATAAACTATGATAAAATGGTAAAGTCAAACGAGGGTGAAACCCCAAAGACAAGTGTTATATGACATATCTGAAATCTCAGTGAAAGCAACTGTAAAAGCATAATAAATGATTTTGAATCAAATACACTCTGATAATTCTAAGAAACCAAGTTCTAACGGCACTTTACTTTCATCTATGGATTATTGAATATTAAATTAAATTATGATTTAATATTTTACTTAGAAATTAATATATGTAATGAGCTAGGAAAAGAAGTTTACTAGTTGATTGTACTCTCATTCTATGAATTTTCTGACATTTCAAAGAAAAGGAAAAAATCCAGCGAAATAAAAAGAGAGAAAATCAATCTCTCTCTAGATCAAAATTATTTTGGTATTATTTTATAATCTAATTTAATTATTTTGATATTCGAATTGAAATTAAACTAATTATTGTATATTTTCTTTTGATGAAATGAAATATTATTCAATTGCTTCTATTCTTTAGATATTATAATAGCTTTGGTCAGGGGCGGATCCCCCTATTGTCCACTGCTTAGCCGCTTGCGTTTCGTCGCTCCTCAGCCCTACCACCGTTTGGGCAAATTATTGAGTCAGGTGACCGAACACAGAGATAGGTCCGGATATTAATAAAATATTATTTTAAATTTAGCGCAAGTAAAGCGCAAGTAAAGCGTAGGTAAAACGCAACTAAAGCGTAAGTAAAGAGCAATTAAAACGCAAGTCAAAAAGCGCAAATAAAGCGCAGGTAAAACGCAAGTCAAAAGCGCAAGGTGACGCGGCAAATTTTTATTGGATGTCCGAACTTATTTTTCGCCTCCGATCACCTGACGCAATAATTTGCCCCACCGTTTGAAGGCGAAGTTTGATTGCTTGAAGAAAAATATGGTGCTTGTGGCTTCATGCACGCTGCAGCTTATTTCCTTTATTCCTTACCGCCTTCCGAGTAAGTTTTTTTTTTTTTTTTTGGCACTCTTTTGGATTCTCTTTTCCTGCTCTACGCAGAAGCTAAAAGATGAAAACTCTTATGATATTTTTAATTCTTCATTTATGCAACCTGCAAAAGCCCATCTACAACTTAAATCTAAGGTTTTTGATACCAGTTTACTGCTTTTATTGCGTTTTTAATTCTTCATTTATGCAACCTGCAAAAATGACTTGACTTTTTTGCTATGCATAAAGTATTCTTTCTTCTAAAATTTTATTTATGCTCCACAATTTAATATGAATTAAAAAACTTGCATGATTACTTTAAAATGTAATGGTTGATTTTAATGTTTTGAAATTATAAAATAATACTCATTTATCTTGATGGATTATTTTTAATACATGTAGTTCCGCTCTTGACTTTTGGTTGATTAAGTTTGTGGTTGAATTAAATTAATAGGTTTAGGCTCTCAATCCTTTCATTAGAACATAAGATGTCATAGGGTTGTATCAAAACAATGATTTGAGAGGATTGAAATCATAATCAGAGCTATAGAAAATGGTTAATAGTAAAAGAAAGGAGTTAAGGGTTTGGTTTTTCAAAAAAAATTTAGTTAGTTTGTGATTAATCTATGTATAATTGAATATTCTTATTCTTAATTTAGATTGAAGCATTGATTATCATAAACCCTCGAGAATAAAATGCGGCTGATGGACAGAGTTCTAATCATGCTGCTACAGTTCACAATATTGTGGGGGCAATGACCTCAGATTTTATAATATAATTTGCAGGTTAGTACCTCAGATGATGAGTTAAGAGAGATGATGTTGATAAGCATTTGTATTTATAATTTTGAGATTAAAGCCACCTCATTTCCAAGGTGCAATAAAACCTCAAGTAGCGAAATATTGGTTGATAAAGATAGAGAAAGTCATTCGATATCATGTAGTGTCCGAAGGGCAAAAAGGTTCCATAAATGGTATTTTTGTTAGATGGAGAAATAGAATGTTGATGGATAGGCCAGCAAGGGGAGAGATTTCAAGGAAGGTCAAATGCAGATATTCCCTAGCAGGAGTTCATAGAGACTTTTCGAAACTAGTTCGCGCCACCATCTATCATTCAACATATATATATGAATCATTTTTTTAGACTAATTGAAGGGAGCAAGATAGTGGTACAGTAAGAGGCAAAGTTTATGACTCTTGTCAGATATGGTCCCCAATTAGTTAGAACCCATGAGAAGAAGTGATATAGAATTTTGGGGGTTTGAAGGATCCTCTAGCTCTGTTCCACATTCATGATTTTCCTAAGCTCGTTGAGAGAGCCACATTGATGAAAAATGATCTAATGTCCATCCGGTAGAGCTGGGATTCCAGCATGAAGAGGAATGGTGGAGAGTTCCCCAGGAATGTATTCAATGGAAATAAGTCTTGATTGAGCTTATATGTATCCTATAAGCTGCTCTCTCTCTCTCTCTCGCAAATGTTCCCATACACATCAAGTATTAAAACATCTATTTTTTTCTTTTTTTGTTTTTATTACTAAACAAGTTATAACTACTGTATTGTTGTCCAAGGAAAATCATTATTATTTGTACAACCATGGAAGAAATTATTACGTGCGGAGTCCGGACATAGAGTTATGTCTGGACTCCAATAAAAACGTAACATGTCTTTTGTACACACTGTGTACATAGTGTGTATATTATGTATATAAGCTTGTACACATTATGTACATAATTTTGTAATGTGTATATAGTGTGTACAGTTGTACACATTATGTACAACGACACATGTCACGTTTTTATTAGAGTTCGGACATAACCGAACTCCGCATGTAATAATTTCTATCATGGTGCATACTTGAACGGTTACAACATGACATGAAATGAGATAAGAACAATCAACAATCGAAGATGATTGGCACTCATAATGATCAATGGTTGCAATGTAATTCTATGAAATAGACATGTTACCAACTTGGATTAATCAGACAACATAATACACACTTAAAGCTAACTGGGGTAGCTTAATAAAGATGGCAAGGAATTGACAAAGAACACAGGTGAATATGGCAAGGAATAGAAGATTTGCTTCATCCGAAAACAATGCCTATTTTCTTGAATGAATAACGTATTTGAATAGCAAGATTTACCATTAAATGTTACCAGCTTCACCAGCTCGGGCTCGTAGTCTTAAAGTCTCGGTGCGCTTGCTTCTTTCCATCGCATCCACCAACCATTCAATAGCATATTTAATGCCCATCCTACAGACAACAACAATGTAGACTGCATTGATAAATCAAAAGATGAGCAATTTTTTAGTTATATTTCAAAGAATAGTTGTCACTAATGTTATTATCCTTAACCTAATGAAATCTCAATCCATGCTAACTTTTTAAGTTTTTTTTTTCCCAATCCTGAGACAAATTTTACTTAGTCTGATTCAATGATATAGTTTCTACTCTTCATTGTAGATATGTAAGTTATCAATTCAAAATTTCATTAACATTATCATCAAGAAATGCTTAACATGTTCAATTGGAATACCATAGTTTTTTTAATAGTAATGGAGTACTGATTGTGTCTTCTCTTTGGCTCCAAAAATGCACATTGTTTAATGAAACAGTGTATAGAACAAAAATGTCGCTTTGGTTTAAAAAAAATTTGATTTTTAATCTATTTCTCGGTTCAATTATTGGCTCAAACAATATTGGCTGAAATTAAAAAATGTGAATATAAATGATATAAAGTTTAGTTAGAGTGAGCCAATCTCAACTCAAATCATAGATTTTGATTTTGGCACAATCAAAAGTTTTGAGTTGAATTGAAAGTGATAAACTATAATGCACTGGCACTTTTTCTCAAAGAGGCATGCAGTGTCCGACAGGTATCGGACACGATACGCATTCGGCATGTATCCAAAACGTATTGGACAAGCCAAAGATGTGCCGATTAAAAAAATATTATAAATAAATTAGACCCAAGTGTCCGACACACATTATAAAATATTTTATAAAAAAATTTAAAATATAATTTATTATATCTAATTTTATTTAGTATAAAAAATATAAAAAAATTTAAAGTTCTTATTTTCTCTCCAAAGTTCCAAATCAATCGTCTGCACTCAATACTGCATTTCTTGAACATTCCCATTTTTATTTCTCTAGTAGGTTATGGCTAGGGTTTCATAGCAATTCTCGATGTCAACTCAATACCGGCGTCCAATGTCATCACAAAATCAATATTTTAAAATCATCTTAATATCAAAGTCGGATGTTGCGTTGACATTGACACTCGACGTACGTAGGTAATTTTTACACTCACAATCATGTCCCTATGCCTTATCAACATCTCATCATTGTCAAATATCATCTTAACATGGACAACCTACGTCATCTCGAGATTGATGACCAACACCGTCTTGACATAAAGCCGATTTACATTACAAAACAATGATGCCCGGCTGTCGAGGGCATTGTCGTCTCCCCTCTTGATATGACACCCAACTCTCGACATCCTAGTTAAATCACTTATTCTTTCTCAATTATTCTTAAAATTTTGCTTATTCAATTTTTATATTTAAAATATAAAATTATAATACCGTGTCATATATTTTAAATAATTGATATGTCAGTATTGTGTCCATATCTTTGGATCATAGGTGATAATTTTTTACTAAATTGTTAGTGTATAATAAATTGTTAGTGTATAAAACTAAAATTTATTATTAATAAAGATTATATCTAGGTGCGCCAATTTTAAATTGAATCCAGTTAATTTCAAGCAAAATCATCTTTGAGTAAAAGCAACAATAGCTTAAAATTCAAATGACTATCAAAAGAGCTTTTGACATAACTATCAATCCTAAAGCAAACAAAGAACGTATGTGAAGATGACTTCACTCACCCATCATAGGCTGAAACAGCTTCAAACAGGTAGAGCCTTTCACCCAACTCCTTGAGATCAAGGTATCTAGCTAGCTCTTCAGATGACACAGCTTCAGGAAGATCCTGCCATCAAATATATCAACTTCATTTCAACTCCATGTTGACTCATAAAATAAGGAACTTCAACAGCGGTTCAATAACAGTATATATTAGAAGGAAGCACATGCCCAAACCTTTCACTGAGTTTTATAAAACTAAAATTGGATTAATCACAAATATATGGTTAAAGAATGCATTTTTATGTGCATTGCCATAACTTTAAAAACCTAGTAAATCAGATCTCAGATTTAATTATGAATATTGACAGTTTTTTATGCTTATTATTTGAACACGCATTTTATTGTCAACACTGGTTGAGAGTTTAAAAAAGTTATTAGAATCAAAGCCAGCCAATCAAGATGTTAATCAAATACAAATCAAAATAGGGCACCATTGACGGTCCGAAATCAAGTACACTATCAAACAGACACTGGTTTAAAAATACAACATCATGATTGAATTAATATCTGAAACATTTTGAAATGTAACTCAATATTTATAAATTACTTAATCCATTTAATTGAAACATTAAGCAATTTTAATCAATATAATCTAGGATTTAGAATCCAAGGATATGATAAAATTAAGAAGGATGAAATTAAAAATAACTATATTGAAAAAAACAGGTGGGAAATTGATAGAACAGAGAAAACTTGCTAGAAGATCAACATATAGTAGCAACAGCTCTAGAATTTTGAAATTGTATTTTTAAGGCTTTGGGGTTTTGAAATTTATTATTGTACACTTAGAGCGGGTGATGAGGAAATGATGACAAGAACGATCAAGATCTTGCGGTTTTGTTATCCCTAATATACTTAGTTAGAAGAGATAATCAACCCATCCTGATCGAAAAATCACTATTGGTAGTCGTAGGTTGCTTTGTCCAATGGTACTTTGTATACTTAAGGTGAATGTTCGCCTAAGGGGATAGATTTCAGTTGACCTTAACTGATATAGAATTTAATACCCTATCCATTATGCCCTATGATTTATTACTCAAGGGCATTAGTCATTGGAGAACATACAGATTTTAGGTGTGACCATAATATAGTGGAGTCGTTGGGCAAAAACACTCGATCAGATGATCTCGATCATAATCATTCACTATGTGGAGTCGTTAGATCAAATCATTGGCTTTGTGGAGCCATTGGGTCAAAACACCGATTAGAAGACCATGTCATAACTAGTTACCACGCACTACAAGAAAATGGGTCAATAGCGACCAAAAAAATAGAGACAAAAATAAATTGGTCGCTAAAGATATCTTTTAGTGACCAAAAATTAGTAAGGCCTCTAAATAATAGGGAAGAATATTAGCCACAAAAAAGGACGCTAATTTTGTCGCTAAAAATCTAGTGAATTTTTTTTCTTAAAAATATACAAGTCATTATAGTGACTAATTATTCTTTTTAATTGTGTACATAATCGTTTGCTTTGCATATATGTTAGGGGTCCAAGGGGGTAGCACCCTCTAGCGGGGTTTGACCTGCCCGGTCAAGTCGCGAGGTCATTAAAAGTAAGATTCTAGATCTTAGGATTTTGTCTGTGCATGAGGAAGCTAATGTTATGTGGGAAAAAGTAGTTAGTGATACTAAGAAAATTGCAAAAGATGTGCTTGGAGTATCAAATTAAAAAAAGCCAGTAATAGTAAAAATAGTTTGTTATAGAATCAAAATGTGCAAGAAAGCATAAAAAATAAGATTTGTTATAAAATTTGATTTGGCTGTAAAAATTCTAAAAATTTGGAAAGATATAAAGAGACTTGTAGAGAGTCTTAGAAAGTAATATATTATGCAAAGATTTTAGCTTTTAATGATTTATAAAATAGATTAGATGCTAAGGAGAGCAAAAAGATATATGTATAAGTTAGCTAAACAAAGAGATGGGAATATTAAGGATTTAGCACAAGTGAAGTGTATAAAGGAGAAGATCAAAAAGTACTTTTATTAAAAGATGATATTCAACAAAGGTGGATTTCTAAACTTTTCAATGAAGATTGTGAGGATGTCATTGATTTTAGTGACCTTAGCAACCTAAATGAAAATAATTTTTTTGCTTTTATCGACATATTAGTAAAATCAAGCTAAAGAAGCTTTAAAGAAAATGTAGTGTAGAAAAGCGGTTAGACCTGATGATATTCCAATAGAGATGTGAAAATGCTAAGGTGATGAAGGAATTTCTTGGCTTACTAAACTTTTAATATTATTTTAAAGACTAAAAAGATGTCAGATGAGTGGCAAATAAGTGTATTGATTCCTAATTCTAAGAATAAAGATGATGCACAAGATTGTACGAATTATAGAGAAATTAAGTTAATGTGTCACACTTTAAAACTATGGGAGAGTTATGAAGCATAGGTTGCGGCGTGATACTAATGTTTCTCAAAATCAATTTGGATTCATGTGAGGTAGATCTACCATGGAAGCTATACATTTAATGAGAGGTGTGATGGAGAACTATAGAGAGAATAAGAATGATCTACATATGATTTTTAATGATTTAGAGAAAGAATATGATAAAGTTCCAAGATAAGTGCTATAAAGAGTTCAATATTTTTATTGAAATTGATTGAAATTGGACACAGAATTGAAAGATTTTAACAGACTCTGAGAGTGGACGCAACTTGCTTGAGAAACTTAGTTTGAGGATTTGTCACATGAAAAGAGATAGAGCCCAAAGCACAATTCAGCACTGCCAATCATCTTTCCCATTTTCAAGTCCTGAAAAACACATAAGTTTGGATAAAATTTAGTAACACATTGAAGGTCATAAGCTAACTTGCTAATGGACAAAAGATTACTATCCAAATTTGGAACATAGAGGATAGAGTTGAGATACAACTCTTAAGTCGGATGAAACTTGTTCTAGCAATTTAAGAAGTTGAACCATAAGCAATACAGACGGAAGAGTGATCAATATTTGTTTTGCAATTTTGGAGAAGGGCGGCATCTCCAATCATGTGATCAGAAGCCCCAATGTCGATAATACATAACCTTATTTCTCCTATATTAGTAGTGATTGCAGTATGTGAATTTGTCACAGTAATACTACTATTGCCAACTTTGCTAAACAGTTTCTGCACCAAATTTATTTGCTTTTTGTTAAATGGGCTAGGCACAAGAACATGAGCACTCTCAGAGTTGGAAGCTACATTTTCTTTGTTGTCTCTATCAAACCGTAGCTTTAATTTCCAATGAATTGGTTTGCTAGGAAACTTGTAACAAGTCTCCTTGTAATGACCTGGTTTCTTATAATAATCACACCAAGGCCTTTCCCGCTTTTGACGATATCTACCTTTATTGTTAGATGATCGGACAGCAAGGGCAGATGCATCCAACATTGATTCGGGTTATTTCTTATATCTCATCATCACTTTCTTTCTACTTTCGTCACGCCTAACCTCTAAAAAAGCCTCCCTAATTTGGGTAGTGGTTTAGTGCTCAAGATTCGACCTCGAACATCATCAAACTCCATGTTAAGTCCTAAAAAAATTTTGAACAACCTTTTTGTTCAATAATCTTGTTGTACATTGCTGCATCTTATGGACATGTCCATGAGTGAGTTTTGAATAAATCAAGTTGCAAATACCGTGTGAGTATGTTGTAATACTGAGTAACAGACAGCTCTCCTTGGCGAAAGTCATGAAGTACTAATTCAATTTGAAACAGCTATAAAGTATTTTGAGAGCTAGAGTAAGTCTCTTTGGCAGCATCCAATATTTCTTTTGCAGTCCCAAATAGCAAGAGATTTATACCTATGTCATTATTCTTGGAATTGATAAGCCATGACATGATCATACTATTTTCAATCTTCCACATTCTGAAACCCAGATCTGTAATCTCTAGCATGGCTACTTCTCCTATGAAATACTCATCATTTCCCTTACCCCAAATGAACAGTAACACAAATTGTGACCACTGCAAATAATTATGGTCATTTAATTTGTGTCCTTTGAAGAGAAGAGGAGAAGCATCACTACCACCAAGGTTTGGAATTTCTAAATTGCTTCTTGAATTTGCTATCATAATGTCGGATGTTTAGGAAGACATCATTCCGTATTGTGAATAAGAAGATGGAGAAGAAAGAATAGAGTTGATGAAAATATAGACGAGGCAGGGGCGAACACTAACAAGAGAGAATCGGCCTGAAAAATAAAGAAGACATGGCCAAAAAGAATCTGCTAGAGAGAGGCGTTCTGAAGGGATTAGCATTCAGAGAACTATCTCTGATATTATGAAGAATTTCTTGATTTATTCTTCTTCTTCTTGAACATGGTACTACATCCACACACACACATCTATACAATAAAGGAAATAACTAACTAGCTTAATTCTTTCCTAAAAGAATCATAGGAGAAGATCACAACGGATCTCTCTTTTTATTCCTAAAATAAATTCCTACTTAGGAAACATAATCATATGAGAATATCACAATCAATCTCTTCTTTTATTCCTAAAAATATTTTTCTAAAATAAATTCTATAACTTTGACTTTCAAATGTTCAACAAAAAAAAAAACTGTTGAAATAAGATCTTTTTTTTTTTCTTCTTTAAAAAAAAAGAATGATAATAAGGCTAAAATGCTCTTCAGTGCTTTCTAGAGTACTAATCGTCCTCACATATTAGATCATAGCCGCATCAATGAATATTTATGTTGACAAACTATCTTCCAATGATCTTCAACTACATTTTGACACACAGCTAATGGACTGCATTCAGTGATGATGTCAGTCGAGATTGAAATAAGGAATGCTTCTAAAAGCTTACGTTAAATGACAACAAATGAAAACTTCATTATCAAATTTAGATAAGGTAAATAAATGAAACAATTGAAAGATAGCAGCTATGACTCAGGCCATCATCTATTGATAGAAAATGACTCTATTTATAGAAAATGAAAATTGACGACAAAGTCTTTTTAAAACAGATCTGCGTAATACAAGTGCAAGTACAAACATTACCTGCTTATTTGCAAGTATCAAGAGTGGTGCCCCTCGCAAGTCATCGTTTCTAAGAACTTTTTCTGTTCAGAATTATAAAGGTTTGTAAGGAGAGCTGCCAAAAAAAAAAAGGCCAAGTAACCAAAGCTTTCTGCTCATTCATACGCTAATTAATACTAACCTAAAGCAGACTTAGAATCCTCAAATGACGAAGGGCAAGAAGCATCTATTACAAAGACTACAGCATGTGCCTCCTCATAATATTTCTCCCATATTGTACGCAAACCAATCTGACAATAAATGTCAATTTGTAAATGATCAATGCCATTTATTGTGTGGCAACTGAAGATCCACAACAAAATTAAGCAGAAGAAACCAATCTTCATAATCTAAAAACAATAGATTGATAACAATCTATTGGCCAAACTGAAGTTGAAAAATAACCAGAAAAAATTAAAATTAAAAAAAAAAGTTGAAACATTAAGAAAAAAAGCCGTTGTTAATGAGTTGTGATGTAATAAATGTAGTTGAGGAAATATTTTCACTAGTATAAGTTGCAAACCTCATGTTATAGGTTCAGGCTACGTGGATCACAGATACATTTCATAGCAACAAAAAAAAGCTTATTCGCATACTGTTGGCTAATTCAAATATCACATCAATATATAATTCTTATGCATCACTACTTCGAAATACTTTTGTCCTCATATTTTTGTCTGAAATACTGGAAATATATATTTTGTAAGTGGCAATACAGTTCATTGCATAAAATAAGAAAATATACCAAAGGAAAATACTGACACCAGGAGAAGTCAAACACAAGTGGGGCACTAGCCTAGGCATTTAGGTAAGGCAAGGCGATGCATCAGATGATGATCAAACTTAAGTTTAATATGATGGAAACCATAAGGAACCAATTACATAATTTTTTTTTGAAGAAAAGCCCCAATTTTTTTATGATATCTAAGATCCTAACCAATTTTTAGACTGGCCGGCTTAAATTGATAGATTCTTTGATTGAAATAATATGAAAGACATCAACATGTTAATTTGTTAAAATGAAACACCTGAACATGAAAATCAATTGGAATAATATTCTTACAAAGGAAGAAAGGAACGGCATAAGTACCTTAATTTGGATTTAAATGAAAGAAATAAATACAAATAAACATTGCCATTGATATCATGATAAGAAATTGCATCGTTAATTATTAACTGTAAGATAGGGTAATATGAAAGTTATTGAGTATCTAAATAACATGGAAGATTTAATTGGCAGAACTCACTGCACAAGTAATGAAGATCAAAAGAAATTATTTCCTAACTCTATTAAAAAGGATTCCCCCCTTTACATATTCTAGTTCTCCACACCCTACGATTCTCCAGACACCAATAATAAAAAAAATAGAGACTTTGTTTCTTTAAATATCAAAAAATTTTGATAACTTCGAAGTTGATGATTTTGAAGAAGTTAATGATGCCACACAATTATCTAGTGAAGAATTAACTTTTGTCCATGATGCAAATTTAAATAATCTCAAATGGTTTATTTCAAAACTTGAAACAAAAGATTGAAAACATAGAAATATTTTTTAAATGTATGCCACCTATAATGACAAAAGATATAGATTAGTTATTAATAGTGATAGTATCACGAATGTTATTTTCACTCATGCCTTAATAAGAGCATGTTTGAAACCTGGACTTGATCCTAACCATTTGCATATTAATTAGTTGACCGCACCTCACAGCTTCTGACTCTTAGTTTTACTTGGATAAGAAACCCAAAGGTCCTCTGACTACTTGTATACAGCCAATTTAGTCTCAGATTAACACATTTCTCTAATTTAGTCCCTATGCTATAAAAATTTGATACCTAATATCTTATCTAGCAGAAATTGATAAAAATTGAGATACATATTGATTCCAATTTAGTCCATCAAGCATAATTAGTATAATTTTATATTGTCAATGATCTAAATCAAAGAAATGTGACACTAGATCACTAAATTGAGATCAATTTTGTATCCCAATTTTGAGATATAATTCATTAACATGGGATCCAAAAAATAATTACACCTGCTATGATGTTTCTTAAGAAATTTTTAGAGAACATTATGGGAAAGTTGTGTGCTAAACTTTAGTTTAGCTCCATTGCTCATCCTCAAACTGATGGACAAATAGAAGTCATCAATTGTAATTTGAAAAACTTATTATGATGTTTTGAAGAGGAAAAATATTAAGCGATGGGATCTCACTTAGGACTAGGACTGTCAATATTTGACCCGACCCATACCCGACCAGGAAAATCCGGGTTGGACCCGACCCGTTTGAAAAATGGGTCGGGTTCGAGTTCACAGATTCGACCAGTTTGAAAAAACGGGACGGGTTCAGGTTGACCCGGCGGGTTGCCGGGTCAACCCGAAAACCCGTTTAATTTAAAAAATTTGGATTTCCGCCAGTGCTGCCCCACGCTCCCCGCACTGCTGCCCCTCGCTGTTGCCCGGCGCGCCCCGCGCTGCTACCCCGTGCCCGCTGCCTTGCGCGCCCGCTGCCCCGAGCGCCCGTGCCGCTGCGTGTCCGCCCCCTCGCCCGCCGTCTGCCCGCTATCGTTCCGGCGCCTGCATAACCCAAATTCGGGTCGGGTCTAGGTCAGACTTTTCAACCCGTTTACATATCCGGGTCGGGTTAGGATTGACCCGTTTGAACCCCGGGTCAGTTCGACCCGACCCGAAACCCGATTTTGACACCCCTACTTAAGACCAAGCTGAGTCTGTTTACAATTGGTCCATTAGCAAAACTACAGATCGAAGTACTTTGGAGACTATATGTGGCCAGAATCCCATCAACCCTTTAGATTTGACTCCTGTGATTATAATTTCCAAATATAATATTGATGTAGATAAATGGATTAACATGATTAAAAAAATGTATCACCAAGTTCAAGAAATGATGAAGAAAAACACAAAAGATTATAAGCAAGCCAATAAATTTCGCACGTCTATTTCCTACAAGAAAGGTGATCAGATTCAGATTCATTTATAAAATGACTGTTCTCCTCCTGTTCATTAGCTAAATTCAAAGCAAAAGCTAAGGAATCATTTAGAGTCATTAAGCGTATAGGAAAATGCCATTAAATGGATTTGTCAAGGGATATAAAATTTCAAACGCATTCAATGTAGCTAACCTTTCATCCTTCAATGATTGTGAAAATGAACTAGATATTAAGGAAAAGTCTTTCACTACCTTTTTTTTCTTTTTTTTGAAAGAAAATGCAACTTTGCATTAGAAAATAAACTATTACAAAGTCTTTCACTACCTAGGGAGCAAGATTAGTTTAGGAGGGATAACCTTTTTATCATTTTTTTTATTCATAACACTGCTGTTGCAAAGTTCCAAGTCCTAAATGAGAAAAGTAAAAAATTGTGTTAGTAGTCGAAAACCAGCATAAAATTTATTGAATAATCATGAAATGAATCATTTAATACATTGTGAATGCTATGGAGTTCACTAAGCGACGTGTTGTATGGCCTGAATAAAGCGAGAAATGTGCAGAGGCCGCTGCACTGGCGCCCGGGTGCAGTGTTAAATAGGCGGGCCCACATCATGGACAGATGTGAGTCAACTATAATTAGAATATGAACTTGAAATGTAGGTTTCCTTATAGGTAAATTAATGGAAATAATTGATATTATGATTCATAAGGAGATAAAAATTCTATATACTCAAAAAACTAAATGTGTTGGATAGAAGGCTAAGAAAATTGATAGTTTAAGATTTAAATTTTGATATTCTATTAGGAGTCGTACTAGAAATTGTGTAGGTGATTATAGATAAGAGTTTGAAGAATAATGTTATAAATGATAGAATTAAAAATAGAATTATAACTTTGAAGATCATTGCCGATGTTAAGATTATTAACATTATAAGTGCTTATGCTCTTCAAATATGAACAAAAGAAATAAAATGAACGAACAGACACATCTTTCCGATTTGGGTTCATTGTACACAGTTGCGTGCTTAAACAAAGCAACTCTTCATGCCCGTAACTCCCATTCAACAAGGCAATCAATAAAAGACGAAAAATAAAAACTTACGCTTTTCAATTATACTTCGGTTTCTACTACTTTCTTCATAAACTCGCGAAAACAGCAATCTGCTTCCCAAGTGGAATCGACCAACCCAATCGGACCAAACTTTTCCTAAATGTCCACTTGTATCCAATCAACCCATTCACTTCGATCTTCTGATCCAACTATTGCTAGAACAACACAGCCGCGAAAGGCCTCTTCCCGGTGTGATTCACCCTCACGTGTAACAGATCCCACGATCGGACCAATCTCTTGTTTCTGACACGCCGCGTTAAACAATCCTCCATTTATGACGCATCTAAACAGCCAATCCAACCCCACCGCCGCTCTTCACGCGACACGCATGTCTCGTCCGACGCCCCAAGCCTCCTCTCACATGCGACTCTAACAGCCTCCGCTCACGTCTGACGCCCTAGCCTCCTTCAGCTTCATCTCCCGTAAGCTCATGACCCGGCCTTCTTCTTCGACTTTTAATCCCACAAATAATTTGATCCGAAAGACCCAAGAGAATGCCCATCTCTATTCCAATTTACGCATAAAGACCTATCCATACAAAGATTTATCAATCTCTGTATGTATCTGATTTCACTAACGAATGGCACGAGCAGCTCGTTATCTTCAATTTGGTAATATGCACAAAACTTATTTATTCCATTTAAATATCAAATATAAATTACTTCAAAGCCTTTTTTATTTTATTTAAAGACAAAAAGGTAGGTTGGCTAAATTTTTATCGTAATATTAACTGTCATTTATTCAATTCAATCTTTAAATAATTAAATATAAAGTTATAGCCAAGCAGAAAGTATTCGCTGATTTGAAGAACACGCGCCATTGATCTCTGATTTGGGCAACGTGAATTTTAAATCTGAAGACCCGCACCGTGATTTTTTATCCTGACAGATGGTTTAAAATCCAAAGACTCATGCCGTGATTTTTAATCCAGGTGAATAGTTTCAATTTTCGAAGACCTCGCATAGTTAAATTTTTGAGCCAAGCAAGTTGAATTTTAAAACTTGAAGACCCTGCACCATTAATCTCTGACCCGGGCAAAAAAACATAATGGCAAATACTATCTCGACTTAAGGGAGGGGATGTCGGGAGGTTGCTTAAATCATCTCAGAAATGTAAAGGGCAATTCAATTTGAATATTAATTCAATTAAAATTCTAAAATTTATTTTTAATGGATTAAAATTAATCGAAAACAATTGAAAAATTGGAATATTTTTTATGATCATTAGAGTTTTCTACGTCGTCTAATGCATAAGAGTTGAAAAGTCGACTTATCTCTCAGGCTCTCTAATGGCATTAGCAATCATCATTACAATTAAATTTATTTGAGTTGTTACTGAAAACCTAATACTAAAATTTTCATAAGCTAAAGGGGTGAGCATGTTCTCCCATTTACTTTTATCATGCTCCTTATCATTCTACTAAAATGTCATTCAACATAAGTAAGAACTTGTTGGACAATATTTTAATCCAAAGATTATTTTTTAGGTGCCTCAAATGTCTCCAAATAAGACCTCTCATTAAGAGATTTCAATATAAGAATTGGATTCAAGATTTTAAATTATTGCGGCATTTCAAATGATATTCACATTTTAAATGTTTAAGGTCTCTGATTATCAAAACATTACCTCTCTTTCTCTAACTAATTAAATAATTAATATAATAGCTAATTAAAATTAATTGACTAGTCAAAATTAATTAATCAATTAAAATTAATTAGTTAATTTTAAATCCAAGAACATTTTAAATATGAGAATTTTAAAATACGAGAGCATTTTAAATGAAAATTTTAAGTACGACATTTTTAAAATTGAGATTAATATAATTAATTAGAAAATTTACTTTTGATTAATTAATTAGTTAATTAACTTATAAAAAAAAGGCAAGAAAAAAATGTTATTTTTCCATTAATGAAACATGTACAGATAACTCTCTAAACAACAACTCAACCAATACCAACTATCAACTCAACACTGAAACTCACAAACACTAATTTCCAAATAAAAATCTCCAACACAAACTCTATACTATCATACGCAAACACTGAATCAGCTTTTGTAAACAAGCAAATGAAATTAAATAAGTATTGAAATTAAATTAATATAAAAAATGTTAAAACAAAAAAAAGAATAAGTGTCACGGTAAACTACTAGCACAAAGAAAATAGAACTACTTATGTAGGAAATATAAACTACTAGAATTAAAAAAAAACTATCAAATAGAAAGAAAAGAGCTACTGTAGCAAAAAATTAGTGTCACATACTGTAATATCAAAAATCTGCTCCAGGATCGTCCAGGACGATCTGGGATCGTCCTGGGACGATCAGTTGAGAATTTGCTCCAGAATTTGCCCAGAAAAGTCTCGAGCTAATAAACAACTGAAAACCACAATCTTGTATCAAACTAACAAATAAATGTTGTTCACTCAGACAAACAAATAATTAAATCCATGGGCATTGTAGTCTATAGGACAAAGTTGTATGACCCACTATTAGGCCACTTCTAATTGAAGTAATAAGACTCACTTTCAGATATTTTTCAAAAGAAGTTGTAAGATCTGTTACTTGAAAGAAACTTCTCTCAAATTAAATATGAACATTGGGTAGTGTATAGTCTATAAAGTTAAATTAAAAGACCCACCAATGGGCTACTTTTATAAAGAATTATTAAGACACGTCATACCCAAATAACAAGACAACTTCTAATGGAAGTCATAAAATCTATTCTTTGAGAAATTTTTTAAAATCTAACTCTCAAACAATCAAATTCAAATTAATGAACATCTTAATCTAAAGGATTAGGTTGTAAAACTAATTTTTAAGCAACTTCTAAGTGAGTCGTAAGACCTATCAATCAAATTTAAATTAATGGACAATTTAACCTACATGGCTAGATTGTAAGACCCACCAACAAGCAACTTTCAAATTACGACTTCAATTTAAAAATGGGTCTTCCAAATTACGAATTCACCTAAAAGTTGATTGTTAGTGGATCTTACAATCTAGTCTTACAGGCTAAACTACTCATTAATTTAAAATTGGTTGATATGACTTACGACTCCTTCAAAAGTTGCCTAAAAATGGGTCTTACAACATAATCATTTATATTAAGATGTTCATTAATTTGAATTTGATTGTTTGAGAATTTGATATTTAATAATTTTCTAAATAATAGGTTTCACGACTTCCATTAAAAGTTGCCTAGTTATTTGGGTAGGATCAGTCTTATTGCTTTCCTATAGAAGTATCCCATCGGTGGGTCTTATAATTTAGTCTTATTAGTTAAAATACCTGAGGTTCAGATTTAATTTGAAAGGAGTTTCTCTCAAGTAATAGATCTTACAACTTATTTTAGAATATGCCGGAAAATGAGTCTTATTACTTCACTTAGAAGTTATCCAATAGTAAGTCTTACAACCTAGTCCTATAAACTATGATGTCCAAGGATTTAATTGTTTGTTTTTTGAGAGGACAGCAGTTGTTTGTTAGCTTGACACCAGATTGTGATTTTCAATTATTTACTAGCTCAACACTTACTAGCCAGCAATTGTCATTATATGACTTTAATATTTTTGCTACGGTTGCTCTTTTTTTCTGTTTGGCAGTTTACTTTTAAGTTTTAGTAGTTTACTTTTCTTACACCAATAGATTTACTTTTCTGATGCTAGCAGTTTACTGTAGCACTTTTTTTTCTACTTTAGCATTGTTTTGATATTAATTTAATTTCAATACTTAATTAATTTTACTTTCTTGTTTGCAGGAGCTCGTGCTAATTCAGAGTTTGCATCAGAGAATACATAGGATGTGTTGCAAAGTTTTGTTTGTAAAGTCGTGTTTGTGGTATTCAGTACTGAGTTGAGAGTTTTATGTTGGTTGAGTTGTTATTTAGAGAGTTGTTTGTACATGTCTAATTAGTGAAAAATTAACATTCCTTTTCTTGCATTTTTTTCATAATTTAATTAACTATTCAGTTAACTAAAATCAAATTTTCTAGTTAATTGTATTAATCTTAATTTTAAAACTCTAGTATTTTAAAACTCTTATTTAAAATTTTTATGTAAAATGCTCTCGTATTTTAAAATTCTATGATTTAAAATGATATTGGATTTAAAATTAACCAATTAATTTTAATTGATTAATTTATTTGACTAGTCAATTAATTTCAATTAGTTATTTTATTAGCCAAGGAGGAGAGGTAATATTTTGACAGCTAGAGACTTCTAATATTTCAAAAAGAAATAACATTTGAAATGTCACAACAATTCAAAATCTTTCATCCAATATTACATATTTTAGAATCTCTTAATGAGAGATCTTATTTGGAGATATTTGAGACACCTAAAAAAGAATCTTTGGACAGAAATATTGTACAATAAGTGCTTACTTATGTTCAATAGCTTTTTTGAAGAATAATGACGAACAGGATAAAAGTAAATGGGAGAACATGATAGTCCCTCTTGCTTATAAAAATTTTAGTAATACACTTTAATAACTCAAATGGACTTAATTGTAATGATGATTGCAAAGGTCATTAGAGGACATAGGAGAAAAGTGTTTGAAACTTTTCATCTCTCCTGTATTAGAGATTAGAAAACTCTAATGATCATAAAACAATATTCTAATTAATCAATTATTTTTTATTCATTTTAATCCACTAAATTTTATTAAATTTTAATTAAATAAATTAGTTAATTAATATTAAAAATTAATTTTAATATTTTAATTTTATTAATATTAAAATTGAATTATCCTCTAAATTTTTGAGACGATTTAGGGAGCCTCCCGACATCCCCTCCCTTAAGGGGAGGTTGAAACAACATTTTCCATTATTTCCTCATGCCAAGATCAGAGATCAACGGCGCAGGGTCTTCAAATTTTAAAATTCAACTCGTCGGGATCAAATATTCAACTCTGCAAGCTTCGAAAATTGAAATAATCCGCCCGGATTAAAAATTACAGCACATATATTTCAATTTAAAATTCATCTCACCCAAATCAAAGATCAATTGTGTGAGGTCTTCAAATCGACGAATACTTGCTGATTGGCAATAATTTTATATTTAATTACTTAAAGATTGAACTAAATAAATGACAATTAATATTACTGCCAAAATTTCGCCAACATATTGTTTTGTCTTTGAATAAAATAAAAGAATGGCTTTGAAGTAATTTAAATTTGATATTTAGACGAAATAAGCAGGCTTTGTGCAGATTGCTAAATTGAAGATAATGGGTTAATCGTGTCATTCGTTAGTGAAATCAGATACAGACATAGATTCATAAATCTTTGTATGGATAAGTCTTTATGTGTGAATTGGAATAGAGGCGGGCATTTGCTTGGGTCTTTCGAATCAGATTATTTGTGGGATTATAAGCCGAAGAAGAGGCCGAGTCAGGTGCTTACGGGAGACAAAGTCGAAAGAGGCTGACGCGTCGGAGTCGGACATGAGCGGAGGCTTGGGGCGTCGAACGAGACAGGCGTGTCGCGTAAAGAGCAGCGTCGAGGGCGGACTGAGCGTGTAGAGGTGCCAGAAGTGGAGGATTGGCCGACGTGGGGTGTCGGGCATAAGAGATGGTCCGATCGAGGGATCTCTCATACACGAGGGTGAATTGCACGAGACAGACGTTCACGGTTATGTTGTATTGATCGATTCCACTTAGGAAGCAAATTGTTGTCGTCATGAGTTTGCGAAGAAAGTATCAGGAATCGAAGTAGAATTCGAAAGCGCAAGTTTTTTTCCCCGTCTTTTATTGATAGCCTTGTCGAATGGGAGTTATTAACATGAAGGGCTGCTTCATTTGAGCGCGCAATTGTGTATAGTGGGTCTGAATTGGAAAGATGTGTCTATTCGATCATTTTATTTCTTTTATGTCTCTTTTTTTAGTTAACAAGCTTGTTGTGTGATAGAGAAGTCCCTCTCAAACTTAAGAGAAATTTCTATAAGATAGTAGTGAGACTTGCAATGCTTTATTGTGCAAAATGTTGGCCATTAAAAGAGAAGCATGATATTAACTTAAGTGTTACAGAGATGAGGTTGCTCAGGAGGATGAGTGACTTTACTCTTAAAGACAGGATACGAAATGAGCATATATGTTAAAAGGTTGGTGTAGCTCCAGTGGAAGATAAGATTTTAGAGAGAGTCTCCTTAGATGGTTTGGTCACATAAAATGGTGACCTTCCGATGACCCGGTTAGGAAGTAGATATATTATATTTGACTTATGTTAAGACAGATAGAGGTAGACCTAAAAACTCTTGGTTAGAAAATATTAGAAATGACCTTTCTATTTTAGATTTGGATGAGAATTTGACTCTTAACATGACACAATGGAGAAAAAGGATTTATGTAGCCGACCCCACATAGTGGGAATTAAGGCTTGTTATTGTTGTTGTTGTATTCGTTTTCTTCTTGTATTTGAATGCTAGTTGGATATGAATCTTTCTAGGATACTGCAAGCCGTGACTGCCAACTTCTGAAAGAAGCTACCTCCTTATATCTGCATAAGAATAATAGCTAAGCATAATTATCATTTTTGCAATTTAAAATTACTTTTTTTAGAATGCACTGTCATTAGTCCCAATATGCAACGCTTCAGAGGTATTCATTATATCCGCTTCATAAAATTACAACGGGACATAAAGCTCCCACAAATAATAGAAACACAAAAAAGAAATTTAACATCAATAATGGTGCATTTATAAACAATTATTTTTTGAAAAACATACCTGACCTCCTAAGTCCCAAAATACAAGTTTGGCATTTGAAGCTTCAACACGACCAATATTAAGCCCAACTGTGGGGACAATCCGATCAGGTGGAAGCCCTTCCGAATTTAAGTATATAGACTTCAGTTTTTCTAGCAAAGACTGAATGTTTAGCAAAATAATTATCAGTACATCATGTTGTTTAATAAGTTTAAACTAAGCAAATTGGCCATGAAGCATGGACGTATTTATTACTGAAGCAAGACTTTAAGGAGTAGAAATAAAATATTACGTTAGAGGAAATGTTACACCATCCAATTCACAACCCAAAACAAATCTTGATAAGTTGGCATGCTTATTTGGCCAAAATAAATTAGGTGCAATACAGTTAAACGAGGACATTAAGCTTCCTATATCTCTCTTTCACTCCCTCTATCTAGCTATCTATCATAGTGCCAACGCATCAAAACTTTTTTTTTTTTTTTTAAGTTATGAGGTGCGCCTAAGTTGATTTATTTATGTGATTGATGCAAGAGTTACTTCATACCAACGAAGGGTTGTTAGAGATCATTTAAATATCACGAAAGATCAAACTACAAAATCTAGACCCCAATGGTTTCGAATTCAAACGTTTAATCAAGCTATCATGAGCCTTGTATATAACACAAAAAACATGTAGATAGGAGGAAGAAAAATAGGATACTCAATTGATTTCTTCCGGTGTCATTAATCTAACAATTATCATTGCATTTCCTTCACTTTAGATCACAAAATCAAAACCATGAGTGTTGAATGATCTTGTGACTCATAAGTCAATAAATCTTGATAAGAATCATTAAGCACACTGATTAAAGATTCTAATCATTGGATCGACCCTCTTGTGGCCCTTAGAAAGTGTTCCATGTGACTCCTATTCCTCTTCTAATCATTTGCCCCCTTGGTGACTTTTTGCTTTTTTGCAAGTAGCGTTGACTTATTTCCAATGTAAGATTTTTGGAGAAATATATATACACTTGTACACATTATACATAATCAAGTAGTAAAATTCCAAATGGTTTTTTTTTTTCGACTTTTCTACATTATATCAGAGCAAGCTTAGAATTCATTCTTCTAATATTTGTTCTCTTATGATTTTATTGAGATTCTTCTTTCTCTTCATTATATTTGATTTCTTTGATCTCCCTTCCAAGAAGTTAACCATCATGATGACTGAAAGTCAGATATCAAGGAATCTTGTTAAGAACAAGCACATAAATCCATTTTTCTCTTCTTGGATCTCAAATCGTAGGTTTTTATAGGGAAAAAAAGAGTTGATGGCAGGCTTTGAGAATAGATCACTTAGGGTTGATGGTAGGTCGTTGTCAATCTCCACCACCAGCCACAGCATGAATGAGCATTATGGTAATTTCGGAGGCTAGAAGTTTGAAATAAGGGAAGAATGCCACAATCAAGGTGGTAAAATAAACCAATGTAGTGGGGTAGATCTATTGAGGCATGTTTACAACTAGGATGTAATGCATTCACAACCATTGAGAGAAGAGCAGGATCCACACCAGTTGTGACTAGATCTTCAAGGGTGACTGGACATCTATTATATGGGTAGGATAGAATAAGGAAGAGAATAAAGGAAAAATAAATTAATAAGAAAATTAAGTACGAGACTAATGTAGATTTTAAAAAAAAGGGAGTCAAGAAAATTTTTGTTTTTCACTAGGAGAAAAATTATAGCTTGAATCCTTACCCTCAATAAAAACTGGTATAACTCAGGAGAATGAAGATTTATGTAGAATATAGCAACCACTACGATGAATTAGGGCTATTTTTAGTTGCATATTGAGTCATTTTTTATTTTTTTTGAAAAATCAAAAATAAGATGGGGTAGTTAATGCCTTAATGGTTATAAATAGGAAAATAATGATCTTTAGGATTAAATGGGTTTGAATATTTTTTGTGGTTGGAAGTAATCAAAATCTTTCATACAAACTTGCACTCAGTTTCCGAGCAGTCAATTATGATATGGAACTTTTAATGCCACATGGCATTGATAAAATATAGAAAATTTATACATGTATTTGCAAAAATATAGAAATATAATACACGTGTTTGCAGGAATCCATCACTTAGCAAATGTGGGTGCCCGTTAAGAATTGAATTAAGAATTTTGCCACTTTTCGTGTTTTTTTGGATTGCGAATTGGCATAATTTGTGTATAGCATCATAAGCTACTAAAAAATATCAAGAGTGAGGGATTTGGCATTCCTAAGCATACTCTAGGAGAACAAAATGATCTAAAGCCAAGGGTTTCATGAATATTACGACAAGATGGTGGTTTATGCTAACAAATTCAATGATTTTATCACCTCAAGCTTCATGATCCTGATTAAAATGATAATGGATCTCTATATATTTTATTCTCAGTGTTGAATAGCATTTTTCATGAAATTTATCAAACTAGTATTATCAAACATAACTAGAATTTGATTTATCTTAAGTACATAATCCTCGAGTCGTTGCCTAATCCAATAATTATGTGACACAACTACTAGCAATGACATTCTTCACCTCTACAGTGGATAAAGCAATGAAAGTTTGTATCCTATTGGATGATGTTCTAAGCAAGAGTCCCAAGGACTCAAGTATTTAAACTATTCTTTCAATCAACCCTATATCCATAATTGTCAATGGCGATTGAGCACCACAACACAAAATTTCCCGTGGAGCCATGACGCGGTGCACGCCATTTTACACATGACGCACAATGTAATATATATATATATATTGATGTTTAAATAATTAATAATTATTTGTAATATTAATGTATAAACCTTCAAAATTTTAATTATTATTTATAATTTTAAACTTATAACATGTTAACAAAATAACGCTCATCATTTGATGCACCATTGCACATGCATGGCGTAAATAGCGCACTCTATTTTGAAACATCGCGCCACGCCAAGCAAATAGCGTCGTATGTTCGTCACACCGCGCCATGGTGCGCAACATTTATGTCTAATTCCAACATAGTTGGCATCAAAATACATACAAGCTCAATTGATAACTAATTCTTACGATATCATAACCCAAGATTTGATGAACCTATAAGATTTCTAAGGAATTTTTTTAGATGATAGTGCTCAAGATCTACTTGAAATCTAAAGTACAGTCCTGCAAACACAATGCTTAGTGTACTTGCTATCAAATACAATAAATATCCAATCATTCCACTGTAAACCTTAGAATTAACTCACTTCCCACGTATAACCTTATCTAACTTAATTGTTAGGCTCATGAGTTATCAATAAACTTGAATCTTTTCATATTAAACATTATATTCAAATCATTAATATATTTGGTTTGAGATGTAAAAATTTCATCACCCTTATGCTTGATTTATAATCCAAAAAATATGTAAGTTCTCCCATCAAACTCATCTCAAACTCCATACTCAACTATTGAAAACTCATGATAGTGAATTCTGTATAGTTCTAAAAAAGATGTCATCCACATAAATTTGAGTCACCATCTTATCATCTCCAGTCTTCTTTATAAATAATGTGGTGCCTACTTTACCTTTGATAAAACTCAAACTAATCAAGCATGTGCTTAGCATCCATACCAAGCTCAATAAGCTTGCTAGTCCATATAGTGCAATTTTCAATTTAAACATATGATCTGCGTACAAATGATCTACAAATCTTGGTGGTAATATACATGAACATCTTTCTTTATAATTCCATCTAAAAAAACAATTTTCACATTGATTTAATATAATTTGAATCCCTTAAAACAATAAAATGCTAACAATAGCCAAATAACTTCTAATCTAGCTACAAGAGTATATGACTCTGCAAAGTCAAACCCTTCAATCTTACCATACCTATATTAATCTAGTCTAATTTCTTACAAATGTGCCTAAATTATCTTACTTATTTTTGTATACCTATTTTGTTCCAATCATTTGTTGATCACGGGTCTATGCCCTAGTTCTCAAAATCATTTCTATTACAACAACAAGCTTTTATCCCACTATGTGGGGTCGGCTACATGAATCCTTTTTTCCACTGTCTTGTTAAGGGTAAGACAAATTCTCATCTAAATTTAATAAAGAGGGGACAATTCTAATATTTTCTAACAAATTATTTTTAGGTCTACCTCAACCTTTCTTCATATAAGTCAGATCTAATGCATCTACTTTTCTAACAGGATCATCGGAAGGCCATCATTTTATGTGACCAAACCATCTAAGGCGGCTCTCTCTAATCTTATCTTCCATTGGAGCTGCTCCAACCTTTTCATGTATATGCACATTTTGTATGTTGTCTTTAAGAGTAAAGCCACTCATCCACCTGAGCATCCTCATCTCTGCAACACTTAACTAAATATTATGCTTCTCTTTTAATGGCCAACATTCTGCATCATAAAGCATTGGAGGTCTCACTACCATCTTATAGAATTTTTCCTTAAGTTTGAGAGGGACTTTTATATCACATAACAAGCCCGATGCATTCCTACACTTCAACCATCCAACTTGAATTCTACTAATAATATCCCCATCTATTTCACCATCACTCTGAACAATAGACCCAAGATATCTAAAATGTGTGCTCTTATTAATGACTTGATCGTCCAAAGTCACGATCCCCCCCACTATATCTATTATTATTATTAAAATTATACTCCGTATATTCAGTTTTAGATATACTCAAACGAAAGCCTTTAGACTCTAAAGTCGACCTCCATAATTTAAGTTTACCTTAAACTCCCTCTCTAGTCTTATCAAAAGGAAGAATATCATCAGCAAAAACCAAACACCATGGTACAACCTCTTGCAAAAGTCTAGTGAGAACATTCATGACTAAAGCAAAAAGATATGGGCTTAAGGTTGATCCTTGATGTAATCCAACTGAAATAGGAAAATACTTGGTCAAACCACCGTGTGTTTGAACATAAGTAACAGCCCCTGCATACATATCCTTAATGACTTGAACATAAGCACTATTATTCTCTTTCTTATGTAGAACTCTCCATAACACTTCTCTTAGAACTTTATCATACGCTTTCTCTAAATCAATAAAAATAATATGTATATCCTCCTTATTCTCTCTATACTTATGCATCAAACTTCTCAATAAATGTATAGCTTCCATAGTAGATTTATC